TGTTGGTGCGGCGGCTGCTGCTGCCGGTAGAGCTCGGCGTAGCGCTCGCTCAGGTAGAGCTGCCGGGCATTGCGCAGCACGTAGGAGACCAGCAGGTTCTTGTGCAGCTTGATGCCGCCTCGCTGGGTACGGGAGCTGTGGATCTTCCTCAGGGACAGGCTGATCAGGCTCTGTGCGTCCAGGGCGCACTCCATTCTGCCGGGGACTCCAGCGGCTGAGCCGTGGAGTGATGGGGGGAAAGAGCTGGCTCCGTTCACTGAGCGCACACACAGGACAAGGCACTCTTCCCCCGGTGTACACTCACACGGCTCTGCACGCTATAAAGCTTGTGCTGCTTTCCTTAGCTCACTGTCCTACTTATACCGTCTGCCCGCTCCCGCCCTGCCCGCGCTCCGCCAATCGCCGCCTCAGGTTAGCCTTGATGGACAGCTAACGCCCGCCCAGCCCGAGCTTCACCAGCCAATAGAAGCGAGGCGGTTCCTTTGTGCTATTCAAATAGCAAAGTGAGCTGCGCTGCCGGGAATAGGAGGCAGTTGTGAGCCGAGTTGTGCGGCACTGCTGGGGGAGACGATGGAGAAGGGGCAAGGGAGCCCCAAATGTGGATGGAGTGGGTGACTAGACTCAGATCCTGACAGTTCTGTGCACCCCAAATTCTTTTGTTTAATGTTGGCAGTGCTGCAATTATTGATTTTGAATGCAATTTATAGGGAACAAAAACTCTCTATATACAGACTATTCTGGTTAGAGAACAAATTAAAGTAGATGGAAACCTGATCACTAAGATTTCATAGAAACTTGGACATGGTAATGGGATTTCAAAAGTCGTTTTTGATATTTTTAAGGCTGACTTTAGAGAATTACAAAAGGTCTCAGTGCTGGTGGTACTAAACACTCCAGATTTCTGTAATGCATATCAATCATGTTCAATCATGTTCAATCATGTTCACTAAAACTGTGTGCCCATAACTTACTCCTCCAACTTAAACCTCCAGGTAGGGGAGCACACACATGGAGGACACAATGAGGTTAGGGGAGCACAGATACAGAAGACACAGTGAGGGTAGGGAAGCACATGGAGGACAGAGTGAGGGTAGGGGAGTGTGCACATGGAGGACACAAGGAGGGTAGAGAAGCCCACTCATGGAGGACACAGTGAGTGTAGGGGAGCACACAAGGAGGACACAGTGAGGGTAGGGGAGCACACAAGGAGGACACAGTGAGGGTAGGGGAGCACACAAGGAGGACACAGTGAGAGCAGGGGAGCATGCACACATAGGACACAGTAAAAATAGGGGAGCATGCACATGGAAAACACAGTGTGGGTAGGTGAGCGTGCACATGAAGAACACAGTGAGGGTAGGAGAGCACGCACACAGAGGACACAGTGAGGGTAGGGGAGGACGCACATGGAGGACACAGTGAGGGTAGGGTAGCACGCACACAGAGGACACAGTGAGGGTAGGGTAGCACGCACACGGAGGACACAGTGAGGGTAGGGAAGCATGCACCAGGAGGACACAGTGAAGGTAGGGAAGTATTCTCATGAAGGACACAGTGAGGGTAGGGGAGCACACACATGGAGGACACAGTAAGGGAAGGGGGCATGCACACGGAGGACACAGTGAGGGTAGGGAAGCATGCACCAGGAGGCTACAGTGAGGATAGGGGAGTATTCTCATGGAGGACACAGGGTAGGGGAGCGTGCACCCTGAGGACACAGCGAGGGTAGGGGAGGACGCACATGGAGGACACAGTGAGGGTAGGGTAGCACGCACACAGAGGACACAGTGAGGGTAGGGAAGCACGCACACGGAGGACACAGTGAGGGTAGGGAAGCATACACCAGGACGACACAGTGAAGGTAGGGAAGTATTCTCATGAAGGACACATAGCAGGTTCTTGTGCAGCTTGATGCCGCCTCGCTGGGTACGGGAGCTGTGGATCTTCCTCAGGGACAGGCTGATCAGGCTCTGTGCGTCCAGGGCGCACTCCATTCTGCCGGGGACTCCAGCGGCTGAGCCGTGGAGTGATGGGGGGAAAGAGCTGGCTCCGTTCACTGAGCGCACACACAGGACAAGGCACTCTTCCCCCGGTGTACACTCACACGGCTCTGCACGCTATAAAGCTTGTGCTGCTTTCCTTAGCTCACTGTCCTACTTATACCGTCTGCCCGCTCCCGCCCTGCCCGCGCTCCGCCAATCGCCGCCTCAGGTTAGCCTTGATGGACAGCTAACGCCCGCCCAGCCCGAGCTTCACCAGCCAATAGAAGCGAGGCGGTTCCTTTGTGCTATTCAAATAGCAAAGTGAGCTGCGCTGCCGGGAATAGGAGGCAGTTGTGAGCCGAGTTGGGCGGCACTGCTGGGGGAGACGATGGAGAAGGGGCAAGGGAGCCCCAAATGTGGATGCAGTGGGGGGCGAGACTCAGTAAGTAGATGGAAACCTGATCACTAAGATTTCATAGAAACTTGGACATGGTAATGGGATTTCAAAAGTCGTTTTTGATATTTTTAAGGCTGACTTTAGAGAATTACAAAAGGTCTCAGTGCTGGTGGTACTAAACACTCCAGATTTCTGTAATGCATATCAATCATGTTCAATCATGTTCAATCATGTTCACTAAAACTGTGTGCCCATAACTTACTCCTCCAACTTAAACCTCCAGGTAGGGGAGCACACACATGGAGGACACAATGAGGTTAGGGGAGCACAGATACAGAAGACACAGTGAGGGTAGGGAAGCACATGGAGGACAGAGTGAGGGTAGGGGAGTGTGCACATGGAGGACACAAGGAGGGTAGAGAAGCCCACTCATGGAGGACACAGTGGGTGTAGGGGAGCACACAAGGAGGACACAGTGAGGGTAGGGGAGCACACAAGGAGGACACAGTGAGGGTAGGGGAGCACACAAGGAGGACACAGTGAGAGCAGGGGAGCATGCACACATAGGACACAGTAAAAATAGGGGAGCATGCACATGGAAAACACAGTGTGGGTAGGTGAGCGTGCACATGAAGAACACAGTGAGGGTAGGAGAGCACGCACACAGAGGACACAGTGAGGGTAGGGGAGGACGCACATGGAGGACACAGTGAGGGTAGGGTAGCACGCACACAGAGGACACAGTGAGGGTAGGGTAGCACGCACACGGAGGACACAGTGAGGGTAGGGAAGCATGCACCAGGAGGACACAGTGAAGGTAGGGAAGTATTCTCATGAAGGACACAGTGAGGGTAGGGGAGGACGCACATGGAGGACACAGTGAGGGTAGGGTAGCACGCACACAGAGGACACAGTGAGGGTAGGGTAGCACGCACACAGAGGACACAGTGAGGGTAGGGTAGCACGCACACAGAGGACACAGTGAGGGTAGGGTAGCACGCACACAGAGGACACAGTGAGGGTAGGGTAGCACGCACACAGAGGACACAGTGAGGGTAGGGTAGCACGCACACAGAGGACACAGTGAGGGTAGGGTAGCACGCACACAGAGGACACAGTGAGGGTAGGGAAGCACGCACACGGAGGACACAGTGAGGGTAGGGAAGCATACACCAGGACGACACAGTGAAGGTAGGGAAGTATTCTCATGAAGGACACAGTGAGGGTAGGGGAGCACACACATGGAGGACACAGTAAGGGAAGGGGGCATGCACACGGAGGACACAGTGAGGGTAGGGAAGCATGCACCAGGAGGCTACAGTGAGGATAGGGGAGTATTCTCATGGAGGACACAGGGTAGGGGAGCGTGCACCCTGAGGACACAGCGAGGGTAGAGGAGCCTGCACCCGGAGGACACAGTGAGGGTAGGGGAGCCTGCACCTGGAGGGAGTAATTGTAGGGGAGTATTCTCATGGAGAACACAGTGATTGTAGGGGAGTATTCTCATGGAGAACACAGTGATTGTAGGGGAGTATTCTCATGGAGGACACAGTGAGGGTAGGGGAGTACACACAGAGGATGTAGTGAGCGTAGGAGAGCATGCTCACTGAGGACACAGGAGGGGGGAATAGGGGAATAGCTTGCTGCTCTAGACTGTGGTGGTATCTTTTTCAGTGTACGCACTCCAGGAGCAGGCACACAAAGATGGCTCCATGCACGGTACCCTGTAAGGGGAAGGAGCCACCTAGAAACCAGACAGCGGTACTAGGGTTGAGGGGATAAGTTGAATCAAAGGAACAAGATGTATACATCAAGAGGCAGCACATTTTGTAAGTCCATTAGAAAAAGGAAGAACACATTTCGGCTTTAATATCTCTTTAAGTCTAGGGGTAGAGTAATAATCTGTAATACTTTATTCCTCGCTCCAGCAATCTGCTGCCGTCTCTGCGGCTAGCCTTCTGAAGCCTCCTTTCTAAGACATTCTGACATCATCAAGTACAATGCAGGACCAATAGCTCACTATTGTATGTAAGGATGGCGAGGGACTACCCGCAGCCCAGAGTGTTTGGGTGAACAAGGGAGCACCAGTATTTCACCATATACCTATACCCCTAGAATCAATGGGCATTTACCCTTTGCAGTGCATAGAGGCAGTTTTCCTATAATTCCTGGAGCTCAGATTTACATCTGTGACTATCACTATCATCGTGATGCTATCCATCCCTTCTCTCTGCGTTATCCAATCAGGGAACACTTTGTATTCACTGAAAAAGTACAGGATATTCTTTGACTAGCACACTTATTAAACAGATATAAGAAATTGCTATTGACAGACCAATAGGCACCAAATAAAAGAAGTTCATTGTTCGAGTTTGCGTACCCTTTAAATATCTGCCCAGAGTTCAGCTATAATGAAGACACTACATTGACCAGCGTGTAGATCACACCTCCCAACCTTCTGAGATGAGATAGAGGGACACATTCTAGCACAGAATATTTAGGAAATGGGCACATCCTTGCCATGTCCCCCAATCACAAGGACCATGACAAATTAAAGGGCAAGAACGATCAGTTAAACTTACAGGGACTTTTCACAATACTAATTTTCCTTTATAAAATTAAAAAGTGCCATAATATGGTGGATGGATGAAAATGTATGTACATCTCCATTATCGAGGCACAAGGGGCCAACAAACCTGCAGGGCCTTGGGTGGATTTATAATGGTAGAGGAAGAGACATGGTCCATAATGGGAAGTCTGTAATAAGAAGGACAGCATAGGGAGAATAGCTGTAAAGGAACAGTAGAGACAAAAG